GATGCCAGATTACTTTAATATGCAGGCGTTATCATAAAAAAATAAAATTTACAGAATCAAATTTTATAACTGAGAAGACTTATTTGATTGTGTTTTAGCTTTAATTTTTTTCAAACATTACTTGCAAAGAGTCATGACTCTTTCAAAAAATTAATGAGAATGGTATAAAATATAATTTGGCGGAAATATATGAAACTACAAAATAAATATATTAAGAATAAAGAAATCATCATGATGAAAATAAATAAGTGAGCACAACAGGGCTTGCCCTTTGCCATATTATCTTTCAAACTGAATAAATGAACAAATAAATAGAGTTTTGGAGACAAACATACAAAATGGAGTACATAAATAATGTTATGTTTTTATTCGTTGAACTACAGTTAATAATTACTTTTCCATACTATTTACAAAGAAATACTTTAATCTTGATTCGCAGGTACAATCTGTCTGTTTTAATTTTTCCATAATATCGTAAAACTCATTCTTTCTTTTTTCCACCACCTTACTTTGCGTTATGCTGTGAGAAACAAGAACAACAAAGCACTATCTCTTTTTAACTTAAGCGGATGTGCGAGAGAGAAAACACATACTGAAACCTGAAATTTGACAGAGGTTCTCAAACAATTATGTTATAACGCGTTATAATAATTTATACAAACAAAAAAAATGAGCAAAACGTGTTCTGAAAATTAAATATAACACTAACTTAAAATTTACATTTCATCTGTTTCATTAAACATCTTTTCAAGTTCAACAGTTTTTTGTTTTGTTCGAACGTTCCGGTAAATCTTTAGGACCGTCCCTAAAATACAAGGCAATACGTACCATCTCAACCACAGTGAGAAAAAGTGAGAAAAAATAGCAACGTTTGAGAAGTATTATTTGTTACTTAGACAGAACTTCTCTTGCCCATTGTACCACAACTGCCTTTTTCGAAAAATTAATGAACAATTTTAAAATAACTCCTATAAGTTACAACAAAGATAGGACTGTGTGTATGATAATGTTGAAATAAAGATAAAAAACCATGCTATGCGTGTGTTTCAAGTGAGTTTTTCCACTAGAAAAAGTTCTGCCAACGTCATCCGCACTGTAGCAGGGACACATATGTGAAAATAGGCAGATGCAATGTAATTCTAATACTACTACTCTTTCCCAAAATTTCTGGAAAATAGGGTGATTCGTTCTTGATTCGATCAATAAAACAAATTGCCTGATTCATTAATTTTTTTTGAGACACCTTGTATAGGCATTTCTGAAAACTACCAATGAATTGATAAGCCACAAGCATAGAATCATAATATTTTGCAATTTTTAGGTAGAATTTATTTGGGAAAAATTTTGAGATGATGTCAGCAATTGTTTCGGGGTATAAATGGATAAATTTTGACTAACGATTTAGCATACTTACAATAACCTTAAAACGTTTGCAAGATTTCAGAGCATTAGGTCCTGCAATTTCAAACTTAAATATTGTTATAAAATTTTGATTTCATTTCCAAAAATGTCTAGGGTAAAAAATTAGTACGGATTCATAAATCACAAGTTTAGTTTGTTCATTCATTCCAGTGATACAAGATACTGATGTCGTCAAAAACAGATAAACATTAATGAGAGCATTGCGTGCCTCCCTACATGTACAAGTACAATCACATATACCTTATAAAAAACACTAATCGCATAAAATCTCTTATAGAATACAAGCACATTTTGAATGGATGATCTTTCAATTTACATGTAAATATTTTGATACTCGTCTCGTATTTGAACTCATTCGACAATTTATTATACATATCCAATCCTAATGAATTTGAAGGAGCTTTTGTAACATTTTTCTTTTTTATTTGAAAATGAAACAAAGTTTTCTGTTTAATACTCTTTTATGTATTTCTTTGTTTCTCACAATCTTATGTTGGTTTTTGTAAACATACATGCAAACAACATCCACAAACATAGAACGACGATAGGGTCAGGTAATTATAATTTTTAAATATACTTCTGCACTCCAAGAAATAAACATTTGCAGATCTACTTAACTGAACACCTCATCGACATATTTTCGACCACTATTACCTTTTTCTTGTAGTTTGATAACATCTGCAACAGATATCATGACTGTTATACCAAGTGCATATAGTATTTTAGTTCCTAGGTTTGTGCTCAAATCATTTATGCAATATATAAACAAAATGTGGCCTAGTATAGGCCTTGTGGCACACTTAACTTTATTTCTAACGTAATTTTACGATTTTAACCATTCGTGAGGTATATCCCGAATGAAATACCTTTCCAATTTAACCAAAAGCTTATCCTGAGAAAAGTGTCAAAAACGTTGCTTAAGTCACAGAAATTCCAATTTGGTATTCTCTATACAGGACAGAATATAATCGTGAAGCTGGTTGATGGCATCAAAAGTTGAACTTATATATTTTTGAGAAGCTCCATGTTAGTGCTAGTGGGCTAGTGCTTGTTCATACGGAATTAATCACCGTTTTTATGAACTGATAGAATTTTAATAATTTCTAGTTAATACTCGGTTTCAAATGATAAATTAATCAAAAATGTTAATTATTGACCTAGTGGTGGGTATTACTTTTTTTAACAAAGACGTTAGAATATCAATTACTGAAGCCACTTGACCTCGTCGCTTTAAGTTATTCGATCACTAAACAGAAAAGTTGTTTTGAATTAAAAGATGTAGGAGTATGACGTTTTATAAAATTTAAATCATATTTACTATGTAACATTGAATTTTGAGATGACGTCAACAATTTTTTGGAAAAGATAAACACATAGATTTTAATTAAAAAATTACCATGCTTACAATAACTGTAAAACGTCTGCAAGATTTCAAAGCATTCGATTTTGTAGATTCAAAATTAAATTGCAAAATCTTGTTTATAGTTTTGATTTTTTTTTTTCAAAAATCTGGATATCTTCGCTAACAACTCAATACGGATTCATCAAGTACCTACACGTGTGAGACTATGTTATTTTATACAATTTGAGACCCATTTTCTATGTACAATTTTCAGGTGACGCCATCACATTATTGGTGGGAATGTTTAGACAAATTTTTATTAGCGTTGTCCCACCTACACGATATGCCTAACATACATATAAAATTTGTCCGGTAGTTTCAGAAACTGTTTAATAAAAATCGACAGACAAACTATTTTTTCATATCCTAGGGGTCAGGAAACGTCGAGAAAATCTGAAAGTATCCGTTCGTCGAACACACTATTACAATACTTTCTTAGGTTACACTCGAAACGTAAAAATCTGCCAAAGACAAAATATAATTGTTTTCTACACTTGACCGTCTCCTTTGTTTGCATAATTTCCAGCCGCTTCTCAGTAAAAATAACCCAACAACATTATATATATAGGGTGTTATTGAAAGGTACGTACAACAAAATGAACAGTTCTTCGCGAAGTCTAAGAAGTCCGAAAAACTTATTTTGTATTATCAAAATTATAAGGGGAAAATTCACCCTTATCCAACCTTTTTAGATGCTACTGAAGGATAAATAGATAAAATTAATTTATTTTAGTAAATCCTAGCAACTGTAACAATAAAACTTTTGTCAAGACTAAATGTTGTTATAGAAACGAAAAATGATCTTTTTATCAGAGGCGTACAACGAATTTGGACATGAATTGTAATAATTTTTATCTCTAAAAGGAAAACACTTTTACCTGAACTTTTTTTAACTTTTAGCACCCATACTTCGAGACCAATTGCCGATTTTATTTTGTGCGTACCTTTCAATAACAGGCTGTATTATATTTTTTGCTAGTACAATTTTTTATAAATTTTAACTAAGCCCTAAGACGTCATTACGGTGAATAACCATCAAGAGTCATTTTCACTTAAGTTATAATTTCTTTTATGCCTCTTGGTGTTATACCCCTATAATTTTGGTTCACTCTTGGATTCTTCAATTTGTAGACTGGTGTTACAAAGTGTTTTAATGGACTCGTATCCTGTAAACTTTCCATCAAAGCTTTTAGTGTACCCACAGATATTCATCCTATTTGCTATCGAGACTACTTGAACTCAGCTTAGCAGATAACCTATTGTACCGATATCATTCCTATAGAATTTGAATCCAATCATCTGAATACAGTGCCAATAACGAGCTTTCCTTGTTCATTTTAACGCACTCTACTCACGCGCACTAATTATAATTATTGTTGTATATTATCCTTCCTTAAAATATAAGGAGTTCATTGTTTCCTACTTTCCATATCTGAAACCTACATTAAGTGATGATGAAGGATTAAAGACAGATTTTTTTACAGAAACGTAACGATATTCTTGAAAAATTGAAGTTTTCTGCCTTTAGTGCTCTGTTTAACAATGAATAAAATCAAAACTAAAATTTCACAGCGTTTTTTACTAAAACTAGAACTAAAATAAAAAATCTATTTTAGTCAAATTTTTTTACAAATTCAAACTTAACGCTACTCTATGTGTAGAAATTAGACAAAGAATCCATTCTATCTGACTTGAAAATTACATATTTGATTATTATTACTACTTATTTAATTTATATTACATGTCAACAGCTTTAATTTATTTCTTCAATAATGTTTAACTGTATGGCAAAAATGCACGAGAGTTTTTGAAAATAAATTTTAATTAAATTATTTCACATAGTGATTTTAGGTTTGGCCGCTCCCTTACGAAAACATTACAGTTTTCATTAAAATTTAAATAATGAGCATTAATTTTCATATTAATGTTGTGTTTATGTTATGTATAATAACATTTCGTAGGTAAAACCGATAGCCCCATTTCTAAAACTTTGTTGTTACAGCGAAAGTTTGCTGGGTTGGTTAAAGAACGAAGCCGTTTTTGTATTTTCTTCATTCGTCAAATATGTCACATTAAGGCAAAAACAGCATAAAATTTGCCATCCCACGAGCTTTGTCCGCTGATAAAATAAACAAAAAGACGGATTTAAATAAATATTGCCTCTTTTCAATTCCAGGAAGATGAAGACATCAATGATTCACGGCAACGGAGTCTCCTTGTTGATGCTCCTGGCAGCAGGAGTCATCTTGTTCGAAGCGTCTACGACTTATGCAGCCCCCCATTCATCCAGGTAGTAGTATTTTGCCACGAACTTTCCGCTTTGATGTGTTCCATAATAATGTGGACGCTCGAAGGTTCGCTTTAAATGAGATGCGGAGCTTTTCCGGACTTTCTTAAACAATAATTCGACAATTTATCTAAAAAATTACCTGTCGAGCTCCGACTCCAGTCGCAGACTTGACGGTATAATCGAATCGAATTAAGTCGCTAAGTGAATTGTATCGCAAGTTTTTAAATTGGTCTAATGGAAAATGAAATTCTCAATTTACGAGGAGAAACATCAATTTAGGATGTCCAGAAAAATCGCAACTGATGCGATAACTATTTATAAAATGGAGTAATTCTTGAGATATTTTGCTTTATCTTTATTGCCGCTGTCATTTTTATTTTCCACACATTAATGGTACTTGTTCAATGTTTACTAATGGTTTATCGATTAAGTATTGGTGCCGTTTGATGGATTAATTTTATTATTATTTATGGATGATAGACTCTTTATCAAAATTAAAAGTGTACACATATAACATATAACACAAATTATTATTACTACATTCATACTAAATTAATTACACTTTACGAAATTTATGAAATTTATATTTTTCGCTTCATTAACCGAGTGAAGGCTGTTTTCTTTTTTTTTGTTTTTTAATAAAGTTTCGCTTATTAAATTGTGTAGACCGCTTATTTATAATCACTCAAATTTCGTATATGTTGGATTAAAGAAAAACGTGTAACAAGAGTTATTTAGGTTAAATAAAAATCCACAAACATCACCAATTTATCACATTATATTGCGACCTTTTCAACACTTGACTTGGTTGTGCAGTAATCTAATTTTTCATTTCAAATTTTTGAGACATTTCCAATATATTATCAAGATAAATTGCGGTGTTGGTAGATCTGTATCTATTAAATAAAAAAAAATTAAACTCAACGTTGACTATGTACCTTTCAACAAATATAGCGTTATTACGGAGCTGTCATATTAACTTAATAAATTCAACATTACTAAAAACATTTAAACGATAGACTATTTTAGGATACAAAGCATTAAATTAAATCAATAACTGTACAGTTAACATGAATTTTAAATATTAACATAACATTTGTAAGGACTAATTGAGCTATTGGAATTCTTTATTATTTTTATTTATATCATTGTAAATACATATAAAAGGATTTAAGAAACGTAAAACTTTTGCTAGTATTTCCTGAACTAATGATGCAGCATATTTCAGAAACAAAAAATCTGCATCAGTTAAAAATGTATGATACTAAAATTTTTTTCTTGCTTTGGAGCAAACATTAAAAAGCACATTAAACACAAAAAACTGTATGTGTAACAGTGTACATTTTTTTCATTTAAACCACTAGTTGGCAGTTTCCCAACTAATAACACCTTGATTTGTTTTTCTTAAATTTATTTTAAAAATGTTTGCTTTTTAAACAAAATAACTTTAATTTAAAACGTATTTCCATATGCTAGTTTACAGGTTTTCAAGGTATTTTATTACTGCTTTGGGAGGTAGAAAGTGTAATATAAACATGTGACGTTTACTATTTGAAATTCTTTAAGAGTAAAACTCTCTATATACAGTTAGGTCAGGGTACAGAATAAAACTACTAATTTTAACATACGTAGGAGAAAAAAAGGTCACTAGATATATATTTTTACAAAATGTACAAATAAACCTTCGTCTGATGCTTTAGTCATTTCTAAGACAACAGTAACTTTTGTATTCTTAGTGTGGTACTAACAACGCAGACCATAAATAGAGAGAGAAGTATACATTCTCTATATAACATACACAACAACTTACACTTACTAAAATCCAAAAATTTCTACTATTATTGATAATTTAGACGAAATGTTAGTTAATTGTCCTTAAGTGGAATTGGCCACACCTTAAAAACCAAACATACTTAATGACCTCTAAAGAAAACGTTAATTTATTTTGGAACCACAAACATAATTCCGAAATTTTCAAAAAAAAATCTTAAAATCAACGATTTAAATTAAATGAAAATATAAAATATGAATATAGCAGCACATTCCCCACAAAAACAACAAAGTCAACCAAAAAAAAATTTTTCACAGGACAGAAAATATATGTATTCATATAGTTGTATACAGTTATTTTTATTATTAATCATGAACAGATAGGTTAATGCAATTTTCTAATTGCAAGTTTTTCCACATGCTTTGTTTACCTACTTATAAGTAAACCAACACAATAATTTACGTTATCGCAACTACATAACAACTTAAATGCGTCATTTTCATGTATTGTTCAAAAATCGCAGTGTCGATGAATATCCTTTTTTATAAAAAAAAATTAAGATATCCCAAAATATACTTCAGTGCAAGATAATGTAATCTCTCAAAAAAAATCCATATATCTACACTTGCACTTCAAACTTTTAAAGCAAGGCGGACTTACTCAGTCGATTACTAATTATCCCATTTGGCATAATTCCGCCAAGATTAACTTGTTATGCTTATCAAATTTAAAGCCTGCCATAAATTAGGCTTTATTTAATAAATGTATTAGATAGCTTAATTGCAGTTATACAACTTAACGGCGCTGTTTGAAACATGATATGACAAAATTATTTTTTGCAGTTATCCTGGATATTATTCGCCCCTCTCCATGGAAGGACAAAATCCTGAATATCTCCTTCAAACGATCGCCAGACTGAGGCAAGCTTTGATTGCGGATGACGATTTAGAAAAGTAAGTTTACAACTATTGAACATTCCACACATGTACAAAGTTTACGCCTGACGTCAGCACAAAAAATCACACAAAATCTCAACCAAGCTTAAATTTATATTTTGTTCTAGTGTTTTTCGGTAGGTTTTATTAATATCGAGTTTTCGACCTCAGTGCGAAAATAATAATATAAAAAAAAACACATCGTGTCGTAATATGAGTTAAATTTATGTTTTTAAGTGGTCGTGGAATAGTAATTAATACCAAAAGTTCATATTAGTGAGGACAGAACAAAATGTAAATTCAAAAAAATACACTCCCACTTTTTATCAATTAGTGATCTCCACACACCGGGCGCTCTGCTTTTAAATTATTACAGTTTCCCTAGCTTGCGCTGGAGAAGTAAAAAGCAAAGCAACTGTTATGTGGAAACGCGAAGCGACTAATTAATTTCTTTGTTATTGAGTAAACATGGCTAAAAGCCTGGGAAATAAATCTGAGCGGCAGTGTCGATTTCTCAAAGTTTTGCAGAAACTTGATCTAATTGATAAAAGGGAGAATGACAAACACCAAATTAACTTCTTTTACTGTTGCTGCAAATCATATTTAATGTTAAACTGTGTTTGTGCTTAAAAAAGTAAGCTCAAAAGATTAAAAGAATCCAGGACGTGCTGTATATAGCGCTATTATCCTTCGATGTGTACCTTGGAGTTTACACTAAATATATTTTAGTCTTATCGCAATGTTTACTTGACGCTTTTTCCCTTGGTTCTTATTAGTCAGACTGAAAGTCGTGGCAACGCTGTGTGTGCAAAAATCCGACATAACAGGAAACACCACTTTATGATTTATAATTTTATGAGATGTCACTCACTTCGTATTTTCACAACAGTAGAGACACTACACATACCTACACATATCTCATAAAATCATAAATAATGGACACGAATTCGATAAATTTACAAACAAAGCATACACATTTATCATATAATCATAAATAATGGACACAAATTCTATAAACGTACAAATAAGTAAAATAAATACCATTTGATCGAAAAAATCGTCTAAATTTATTTTTAAAATAATGATGTAGTTATTTGACACTTTTTCGACATTTATTTGACCATTATTTTTTACTTTTTTATTCGATCATATGGTACCTGTACATGAAATTATTAATTACTGTAGGCTTCATCGATGTTGTATGTTCAATTAGCGATGTCGTGAATGTAACACTGTGTAACCAAAATTTAAGATTCAACATAACCGTAGTCGTACGAAGTAAATCACGACAGAATTCAATCTTCCATCACTCCCGCAGCTTCGGTTTTAATTCATCGTACCATATTATAGAATGGCGTAGTCAGAATTGAAAAACTTGCATAACTATAGTCTAAACCAATCTTGGCAACCCACAAGTTCTATGTTTTATGAAACCATTACACAAGAAAAAATAGCGATTTTGGAATTTATTGGGTAGCAATTGAATAATAACCAAACAGACGAAACTCCAGTGTTGCTAATATTGTCATTAAATAAATCAAGGAATGTTATTCATATAGTGTGCCAACTCTATTTTTTCTATAAATTCCCAGACAACATCACTCTCCGAAATAACTCTATAAATTTAGTATTTTTTGATAAATTACTTCATGTCTGAGTTTATGCGGTGGTAAATCGTTAAACCTGTTGGCCGACACTTTTGAGTAAGAATTCAATTATGGCATCGAATACCCTAATTTAAGTTCATCCCAAATAAGGATGCGTTCAAGCGTGAGACTCCTTTGAAACCGCCAGATTGCATCCAACCTGAAAAATTGACTTCACACTAAAAATATGGAATTTTACTGTAAAAAAAACTATTTCGGTGGATTTAACAACTTCAGTCAACTTCATTGTAGTTGTTGGATTAAGGGAGTATCACACAAATCCCTGACTCAATTAACGCACCGTGCACTTGACGTACTAAAGCCACAATAACGTTACGCTCACCTGCTGGATAATGCATAAATTATATCAACTGGACTGGATTTCGTCACGTAACTTCCTAAATTCCTGTCAAAATTTAATGCATTGCCCAATGCATTAAACTTTGACGTTTCATCTTCTCAACAAGCTGTCAGTATGCATAAGATGACGGAGCAGTGGCGTAGCAAACACTCTGAACAAATAAAGACCGCACATAATTAAAGCCACTGTTTTCACGTGGTAGGAAAAGGCGGAGTGTCCACAACCACGCCTCCAGAGAAGGTGACAAACAAAATCAAAAACTTTGATTAAGTTTGAATCAAGTTGGGGGAATAAAACTTGTCCCTAATTAACGCAACGAAATTACGCCGCCCACGTCTTGCTAATTACCCATGAAAACTAACTAATGATTTTGTTAGGTTGATGGGTCAAACAGGTCCGACACATTAATAATAATAAAATTATTGCTGACATTAAATAAAATCTACCACCACCTACACTTCCATGCCAAATGCTTACTTCTATTAACGGAGGTTAATTAAAAAGTTTGTTGGGTTCTTTTTAACGGCTCGTTGATAACTAATTATCAAATAATTGGGTGATGAAAATACGATTTGCATTTTTATTGGTTAAGCGAGTTTACCTCCAACGCAATTTTGGCCGGTGTGGGATGAAAAAGTGTTTTATTGTAATTAGAAACGTTATGTAAATGTGACACAAACTCGTAATGAAAATATCTGATGAAAAGCTTGATTTTAGTGTGTACAAACAAACTTGCTGATTACATGGCATAACCATATTTTTTAAATGAAACCAAGCTTGGGACAACGTCCATTTTCATGGAAATCGCTGTTTACAATTACGTCTGCAAGCGAACTTGAACATATCCTGAATGAGAGAGTTGGAGTGACAAATTTTAGAGCCATTCAAAATTAAACTTGTACAATAAATTCATTTTGGTCGTGGATTTTGCAAATACTAGATGAATTAGGTCAAGTAAAGTAAATTCAGAACAGAAATGCGTAGAATTTTCCCTCTTACAGTCGTTTCAGTAAAAAAAGCTCTCAGTTTACAAATGGTCAGACAGAAGCTTTTATTTTATTTGCTTCATTTTTTTCACGACAAGCGCAGAACGATCACAAACATACGGAATTTTCACGCCACTTTCGATTAAATTTTATCTGATCACAATGTACATATAGCCCTAAAAGAAATCATATTGATTCACATAACAGCATCATAGTGTTGACATTTTTATCTCGTCCCATTTTCATGCCAATATACGCCAATCGGACAAATTAAAGCAGAAATAATGAAACAAATGAAAATGAATTAATCGAGAAAAGAAAGACAAAAAGTGTAAGGCAACAAAAAAACAATATGTCGACATATTTTTAGTGGACCAAGTATGAAATTGTTCTATCGTGAAGCTTAGTGATTTTTCTCTTAAATGTAAGTTTTGTTATACAGAAACGACTGAAGCCGAGATGTTAAGAGTACACAATAAAATTTATAAACAGCTTTAGATGTATATTATAAGCACACCTATTCAGAACTAAGCAATGCTTTCAGACCTTCCTACTAAACGTTTTATTCATTCTCTTGTAAATATTTGCGTCTATGTTAACGTAACTTTTATTCCTATTTATTAAATACTTAATATTCACTATTAATTAATCATCCAAAATGTCATTTAATCAGCACTATTACATAATTAGCTAAATCTAAACTTATAAAGGTAACTGAACCAGGACAAATCGACAATACTTAAGATTTGCTTTAAAAAATTTGTCTCAAGCCATTTGGATAGAATTTGCTTCATCATGAATAAGAGTTAATTATACAAATTTAATTTTTTGTGACAATGCATAAACAATTCTAAAAAATAAAACTGTATTAATAAAAGCAAACAAAATTGATCGCGAAATACATTTTTTAACAGACACGTATTTTCTAATTTTTGCGGGGCCATCATTAAGTTTCTATAGGGATGAGTATATAAATCTTAATTATTGTAATCATTAAATCAATGTTAGTCAAAGGGCATACAGATAAATTCTTATTTATAATTTAAAATTTCACAATCATTTTAAAACGTCTGCAAAATTTACTTCTATATTTTAAATTGTAAAATTTTGTTGTAGATTTTTTAGTTTTTTCCAAAAAACTACATGAATAGGGTTAAAAGTAGAGCTAAATTAATTAATTAATTAATAATTTTTGGAGAGAAAGATCAGACAAATTTTACTTGGCGCTTTACCGTCTACACGATATTCTTAAAATAATCTGAAATTTCGGAGACAGAGAGCCGGAAACGAGAGATCTACTCTTTCATATTCTAGGATCTATAACGCGTTATTTGAACAGAACTTACCTCGTTCCTGAAACACCATCAATTAAGCCAAGTCCAGTTTCATAGACAATCTATAATGCATTTTTGCTACTATTATTTTTGACTTCCTGGGCGTAAGCTAGAAAAGTATTGTAATCGAGTCCATCGAACGTCTAACTACTTTTATGTTTTCTCGTCATTTCATGACCTCTAGAGTACGAAAAATTGGTCTCCCGTTGCCGTTCGTTTGTTGCCTGTGTCGACTTTTATTAGACAGATATTCTCCAGAACTACTGAACCGATTGTTGTCAATTTTTATGTATATTAGGAATATCGTATAGATAGTAAAACGTAAACCAAAATTTGTCTAATCACCTCCACCAACAATTTGATGACGTCTTCGCAAAATGTTTTTTAGTAAGGTCCATTTAAATTTTCTAAAATAGCATACTCCTCTACTTGTGGTTTATGAATCGGTTTTATTGTTCTTTAAACCACAGTTCTAGTCTAACGGTAGCGCACCCGCTCCGCAGAGGAGAGGTCCGGGGATCAATACCGGGCCGCAGTTTTTTTTTAATTATTATTAAATCAAGAACGGTTCGTCCTATTTTCCCTAAATGTGCGAATACAGTATTGTTGTTACTAGTATTACACTGCACCTATTCAAATTTTGATGACGTCATAGCAAAATTTTATTATGGAAAATTCACTTGAAACATAC